CTGGAGGTGAACCTCACTGTGTGGGACTTCCCCCTGAAGAAGGCGGAGGTGGCCAGAAGCCAGCTCACTCTCTCACCGGAAAACCACTTCATGAGCCAGGCAGCCCTGACGGTAAGAGACGGGCCAGCATGGGTGGCCACAAAGGGAGGCTCCAGGCCGGCAGCAAGGGCAGAGAGTCGCAGGCTCTAGGGGGGATTTCCACTAGATGCACGAGGGAATAGACGCAGGGCATGGGTCTACTTAGTGCTCCTCTTATGTTCTGTCCATTTAGAAATCCAGAATCCCTTCATCTGGGCTCCCAGAAGGGCCATGATTATCAGCCTATAATGAGTGGTCGGCAAACTCACTAGTCAACAGAGCCAAATATCATCAGTACAAAGATTGAAATTTCTTTTGAGAGCCAAATTTTTTAAACTTAAACTATATAGGTAGGAACATTGTTATTAACTTAATTAGGGTACTTCTAAGGCTTAGGAAGAGCCACACTCAAGGGGCCAAAGAGCCGCATGTGGCTTGCAAGCCACAGTTTGCTGACCAAGGGCCTATATATGATGCCCCTGTGCTAATTATAAAGGCGCCCTCTGCTGGTAACTTGGAAAACTGACCGTGGACTGGATTGTATCTCCACTTGGAGGCCATGTCCTGGTGCAGGAGCAAACTGCACAGCCACACGGGGCGACCTTGCTCCCAAAGGCAGAGCTGGAGGGCCCCCACTCAGTTGGCTCTCCCAAGATCTGGCCCAGGGCTTTGCTCCCAGGGATGGAGACCCCAGCAGTGCCTGAGGAGTGTGGACATCTCTCCCCAGATTCCCGAGAGCCTGGTATACCCCCCACAACCAGGGCAGCAGCATGTCATCATCCGGGCAACATGGGCACCCACCTCCACCTCCTCGTTCATGGAGAAGGTTGTGCTGGTGGCTCCCCATGCTGGCTACATCTTCATCCAGACGGACAAGACCATCTACACCCCTGAGCACATGGGTACAGCCTCTGCGCACTGGGCCTGGAGCAGACATTGCCTCTCCCCCCGGCCTCCCCCAGTGCCCAACGTATCCCACCTGCCTAGGTCCCCCCACTGCCCAAGACTATAATGACTACAGCCCCTCTCCAAACTCTACCCAACACTCAGCGTCTTCCTCCTCCTGCAGTTCAGTACCGGGTGCTCACTGTGAACCACAGGATGGATCCTGTGACCAGGACATTCACTCTGGACATCAAGGTGGCCTCTCCTGTTGGCAGGGTGGGTGGGTCCCAGGCACTGGGGTTATATCATGTGCTGAGGGCCTGGGGACATGAACCACCTACCCGCTGTCCCCGCAGAACCCGGAAGGGATCACTGTGATCAGCCAGGATCTGCTGGCCAGCAGAGGTATCTTCACGAGCTCCTTCCACCTCCCAGAGCTCATCAGGTGCCCTACTGGGAGCCCTAGGGCGGTGGGGGGGAGGGGCCTCCTCAGTCTCCATCTCTCCTAACTTTCTGTGCCTCAGTTTTGGGACCTGGACCATCGAAGCCAGTTACCAAAGTGCAGCCAAGCTGAAGTTCAAAGCAGCCTTTGACGTGAAGGAGTATGGTGAGCAGCGTGGGATGGGGAGGGCAAGGTGGGACAAGCCAGAAGCAGGGCTGGAGACGCAGAGGAGGTCTTGTGGCACACCTACTGTGTGCCAGGGCCTGGACTGGGTGCCGGTGAACAGGGATGCATGTTCCAGTTGGGGGTGGCCAGAGTCACCAGGGAAGGAGCAGGACAGGGAGGGGATTAGGGCGAGGACGGTGAGTCGCTGAGGGTGTCCACTGCCTTTACTCCGCCCAGTGCTCCCTTCTTTTGAGGTCCGGCTGATCCCAAAGAAGAGCTTCTTCTACCTCAATGATGACTCTCTGTGTGTGGAAATCCAGGCCTGGTGAGTCCCCTCACTCTTAGCCTGGCCTGAGGACCAAGGACACCAAGAAACTGAAGGGTAGTAAGAATTGGGTCACGTGTATAGCACTTGGGGCATCATGAAGGCCCTTTCTGACACCCATCAGATATTCTGGGTCACCCACATCGCCCCCACGAGGTTGTACAGACCACGTCTGCCACCTGTGAGGTTGTACAGACCATCTCTTCAGGCTTCTGGGGTTGTACAGGCCACCCTGTCTACCTAATGGAGCGCCCCACATCTCATGGTGTGGACCACCTCGGAGGGTCCACAAGGTTGCACAGGCACCTTGTGAGGTTACCCAGATCACCTCTGCAGAACTATGAGACTACAAATGCCATATCTGCAGCCTGTGGGGTTTTTTGACCATCTCCACAGCCCTATGAGGTTGTATAGGTCATGTTGTCCACCTAAGCTTATAAGGGCCGTTCCTGCCACTTCTTAACGTTATACAGACCATTCCTGAACCCTTATCATGCTGCACAGGCCACCTCTGCCACCCCACAGGTTGCCCAGACTCCTATGTGGCTCCAAATGGTTGTACAAGATACCTCTACCATCTCGTGAGGTTGCACAAGCCACATCTACAACCCAACAAGACTCTATGTAACATATTTATCACCTCCCAGGATTTTGTGGGTCAGCAATGAAACCTTAGTTTCCAGGGGGGCACCTCTGCCCCCCCCCCAAGTTTCACGGCCATCGTTGCAGCCCTCTGAGATCATACAGGCCGTCTCTGTAGCCACGGGAGGTTGTGCGGGGCTTCAGAGCCAGTGGAGCATCTCTTTATCCCCCAGGTATATATTCAACAAGCCAGTGGACGGACATGCCCTGGCCATCTTCGGGGTGAAGCTGGGTTCCCGCCGCATCGCCATTCAAAGTTCTCTACAGAGAGTGGAGGTAACCAATTCGGACCCCTCCCCAGCCTCTTTTCCCCCCAACCCTCCTTCACTTCCCCAAGAAACCACCTCCTCTCCTCTCTCCTGCCCTGAGAGCAGATCTCTAGAGGCGAGGGTCACGTCTCCCTCCAGAAGGAGACGTTGATGGCTGCATTCCAAGGCCCAGAAGAGGACTTCATAGGGGCCTCGATCTATGTCAACGTCACCGTGTTCTCCTCAGGTGCTGCCCTCACCCATGGCCCACGGCTGAGTTCAGGACACTGTGTTCCTTCTCAGCCCAGACATTCTGCCCACGTGACCTCAGGTGGCCTCCTGCCTGCGTTTCCTCATCAGAGAAATGGGGAAACATCAGAAGGGCTGGCAGGAGTTGAACTTGTGTTACTGTCTTTCCCTGTCATCATCTCCAACATGTGCCTCCCATACCTGCCACCCTGCCACTCCCCCAAGAAATTAAATTTCCTCCACAGACCTCATGGTCCCCTCTCTCTACAGGGGGTGAGATGGTGCAGGCCGAGACCTCAGCGGTGAAGATCGCCCGGAGCCCATACAACATCAAGTTCACCAGGACACCCCAGTATTTCAAGCCGGGAATGCCCTTCCATTTTAGGGTCAGAGTCTGAGTTCACTCCATTTAAGGACTCAGGGGCCCCACCCTCAAACAGCCACACCCCAGAAATAAAAATCCACATTGGACTCACCTGCCCCCAGTCTTTCTTAGAGTTGAGTCCATCATGCCCCCAGATTAATCTCAAGGTTTCTCAAGTCTTAACCCATGTCTTCCCAAAGCACAGAGAGGGCTCCATAATTTCTCTATGGGAGCTTAGGAGTCACAGTCAGGCTGGAACATGGTGCTTAAGGGTTTATCTTGAGGCTACATTTGCACAGCAAGCACGCTGTTTTCTCATACATTTATTTGGGGTGACCTTGAGGTGTCTGATGGGCATTACTTTAGTCCCAGTCCTGCTCTGGGCATTACTTTAGTTTCCCCCACCCAAGCCCTCCATGTCTCCTCCTACTGCTCCACCCCCAATTCCACCCTACCCTCACCCCACAGGCACACCAATACCCAGGGCTACCACCTATGGATGTGCGCAGCAATGCCCTAGGGGTGCCATTCACAAAGACTCTAGTGTGAATGGTATCCCTGGTGTTTGCTCAGTGCACAAATCGCACAGCTGTCCAAGGCTGCCCTAACCAGGTGGCATTCACAGCTCCCACCTCTCACAGCAGGCCGCCCCCAGGCCTGTCCTTTATCTCACCCCACACTCCTCCTCAGGTCTTTGTCTCAAATCCTGACGGGTCCCCAGCCTCCGGAGTTCTCGTTCGCTGCCAAGACCGCAAAATGTACACCTCACCCAGTGGGGTGGCCACTCTGACCATCAACACAGACACACAGCTGAAGCAGCTCCCTATCCAGGTACCGATCCGATGGGGCAGAAATGGTGGGGTTGTGTAAATGGAAAGGATTGAGAGTTAGTCGCCCATCAATCTCCCCAGGTGGTAACTGATGAGCATCTCCGGCCAGAGGATCAAGCATCAGCCAGGATGACTGCTTGGCCTTACTCAACTCAGGATGGGTCAGGGAACTTCCTGCACATAGAGGTGAAGACGTCTGACACCGAAGTTGGCAGCAGCCTCCAGCTGAGCCTCCACACAAGGCATCTGAACCCTGCAGCCAAGGATCAGATCACTCACTTCACCATCCTGGTGAGGGACTAGGACCAGGGCTTGAGCCAAGGAATTCTTTCCCTGGAACAGTCTTGGGTAGCTGAGTTGGAAGAACTGTGAACATGGTGTGAAGGTGGGACCCATCTGGGGTAGGCTCAGGCCAAGGAACGAAGCATAGGGACTGAGGACCTCTCTTGTGGGCTGGCCCTACCCTTCTCATCTTGGCTTCCCCTGTTTTTAAGGTCCTGAGTAAGGGTCAGATTGTGTCTACCAAACATCAATTAAAAAGTCACGGGAGTGTCTACACGTCAGCCATCATTGATGTGACTTCAGAGATGCTGCCCTCCTTCCGCATCCTGGCCTTTTATTTACTGCCCAGAGGAACAGGCCAGAACCCTGAACTGGTAGCCGATTCCATATGGATTGATGTGAAAGACAGATGCATGGGGACGGTGAGCCAAACTCCTTAAAGTTGTACATCACCATCATAAAGCTCGGGAGAGGGTCTGTCCAAGTTCAAGGGCTCCCAGCCTAGGGGCAAGTGAGTGTAAGAGGAAGAGATGTGGCTTTAAAAGCTCAACCTAGGGAGATGGGATTGATGCAAGTAAATGTGTGGAGCTGGAATTGGTCTGGTGGAGTTCCCTAATGCTCCATCAGAGTTGTAGGCAACATGAACCTGAAAGTGAACTTGGGCCCCTGGCCAGTGTGGCTCAGTTGGTTGGGCATTATCCCATGCACCAGGAGGTTGTTGGTTCAATTCCTCGTCAAGGGCACAAGCCCAGGTTACAGGCTCAATTCCCGGTAGGGGGCATGCAGGAGGCAGCCGATCAATGTTGTGCTCTCTCATCAATGTTTCTCTCTCTCTCCCCCCCTCTCCCCTTCTTCCTCTCTCTTTGAAAATCAAAAAATCAATAAACTAAAAAAAAAGTGGACTTGGGGAAGCCCCTTGGCGGTCTATAAGCCCTTTTTTATGACATATCTCTTTTTCCTGGCTCAGCTGAAGGTTGGCTTAAATCATGAAGACTCCTTCAGTTCTTTGGAACCCAACAGCAAGGTGGAAATAAAGGTGACAGGTGATGCAGAGGCCACAGTGGGGCTTGTGGCCGTGGACAAGGCTGTTTACGTCTTGAACAGCAAACACAAGCTCACACAGAAGAAGGTGAGTACGTGTGCATTTGGGGTCAAAAGGTTGCCTGGACATTCTAGCTGGAGTTTCCTCTTCTTCAGCTGTAAAATGCAACATCAACGGTTGCAAGGACGCAAGTAGCTAGTGCACAGCATAGAGATTGGCAGGTGGTAAGAACTCAATCATTGGCAGATAGTGTGAGAATTATTACTTGAGCCAGCAATGACAGTGCATTATTGCTCCTTCCCTGGAGGGTCACACAGGCTCCAGGTCCAAGTTCCTCTCTGGCCCCCCAGGTCTGGGATGTGGTGGAGGAACACGACATTGGCTGCACCGCCGGCAGTGGGAAAGACGGGCTTGCTGTGTTCAAGGATGCTGGGTTGGACCTGAAGATGAGCACAGGGATGGACACCTTGGCAAGCTCAGGTACAGGCAGGGGGTGGGAGGTGGGCAGGAGGGTGGCAGGGATGGAGGCAATGCTGTCTAGTGGTTAAGAACATGGGGTTTGGCATCAAACAGACGGGCTAAAATTCAGGATCTTGGCACTTACCATGGGCCAGTCACATTTCTTCTCTGAGTCTGGGTTTCTCTGTCCATAAAGTGGGGATAATAATACAAGTAACTCACTCTGTGTTAGTTAAGGTATAGGTTTGTCCATATGAATCAGAGATAAAATAATAGCAGCTCAAATAAGATAGAAGTTTATTTCTCACTCAGTCACCATCCAGAGGTCATTCTGGGACTCAGGCTGCTTCTAGCTTATTGTTCTGCCATTTTCCAAGATAGCACCTCATCAGAACCTCATTCCAGGCAAGAGGATGAAGGGAAGAGGGAACAAGAGGACACTATTCTCACATTCATTGGCCAGAACTCAGTCACATGGCCCCACCTAAGCCCAAGGGACGTGTACTGGGAAATGTACTCTTCATTCTGAGTGATATATATAAAGATGGAGGTTTAGTTACTACAGATGAGAGGAGGAGGATGGATACTGGGGACAACTAGCAGTGTGTTCTTTCAGCTATAAATAGTTACATCATGAGTTTCTGTCTACTGCAATCTATATGCACGATGCCATTGATAGAACTCTATGATTCCAATGATTGTACTCACTTTACACAGCTGGCGAAAGTAACCCCCAGCGCCCGGCTGGTGTTGCCCAGTGGTTGAGCTTTGACCTATGAACCAGGCGGTCACAGTTGGATCCCCCATCAGGGCACATGCCAGATTGCAGGCTCGGTCCCCTGTAGGGGGAGTGCAGGAGGCCTGTCAATGATTCTCTCTTATCATTGATGGTTTCTATCTCTCTCTCCCTCTCTCTCTCCCTCTCTGAAATCAATTTAAAAAAAATAATAATGCCCAGAGAGGTTGTGACTTGTTGAAGACTGCATAGCTTTTCAGTGGTGAATCTTAAGTATGAGGTACCCATGGAATAAAATGAGGTGATGGGCATCACCCACGGGGCGTACAATATAGTTCATCAAGGATGTTGGTAATGATCTTGACAGTTGTCCTCATGCTTCCCTCTGGCCTCCAGACTGGCACTGCCCCCAGAGCCACCCTCCCAGCCGCCGCCGCCGCTCCCTAAAGAGCCTGGAGACCAAGAGGAACGCAGGTCAGAGCTAAAGCTGGATGTCCCCCTCTTCGCTTCCTGACCTACTGGATTCATCAGGGCTTAAAACAGCAAACTGAACCCATTCTAGGTACTTCACGCAGTCAGGGAGGGATTTAATCCTAGGAATTTGGTGCTTTCAACATTACTTGACTGGGCTATAGGAATGGAAAGTTGAAGGCTGGCTGCTCACTGGGACTCAGGATCACCCCCCTGCAGTTCTTGCAATGCATGAAATCTCTGGAAACTTCTGACAATATTTCTCACGAGATAGTGGAACATGGAATTTTTCCCATTAAAAAACCACACAGACTGAGGCCCGCTCCTTAGCTACACTGCTGCAGGGGAAACGCTCTCTGTTTCTCTTTCACAAGAGCATCTCGGGGGCAGAATCTAATTCCATCCAGAACTCCAGCAGCAAGAGAGTCTGGGAAACCTAGCTTTCAGATGTCAGATGGAGGAGGGAATGTAGACAAGCGGAGAAATCGGTGCTGAGTGCCAATGGGTAACGTTTGGCTCTGGGCCCGGCGTTCAGGGACGGTGGGAGGCACCTCTGGTTGGTGTCAGAAGCATGTGTTCTATGAGCGTTAGATTTTTCCGTCTCTTTGAGCCATGCTAGGAGTTGGTGGAACTAAATGCAAAGAAGATAAGTAAAATGTAATAAAAATCAAGGTAAAACCCTAATATAATTTCCATATCAAAAATCATGCTCACCTTCTGGAGAGAGTTTGTAATATGAACTGCTGTTTTATTTGTAAGGTGGACAACGAGATTTTTAAATTGCTATAATTACGGCGAGGTTTATGCTTTTTACAAATACATCATGAAAATTGGGAGCCGAAGTGGCATCTTTTAGACATAAACATGGCGTTACCAATCTTGTCAAAAAGGAGGACAAGGAGGAGGCGGGAAGGGGAAGGGAAGCCGCAGCAGCCTGGAGTCTAGTCCCAGCCCTGCCACTGGGAGGTGTGTGGCCCTAGGCCAGGAAACTGACCGCTCTGTCACTCAGCTTCCCGATCAGAACTCCCCATATGGGTTCAATGTGAGCTTTCAGGGGGAGGATATAGACAAAGTGCCAGGACCCGCATCTGCTCAGGCTACGCAAGGCCAAGCATGCATGCCCTGAGGCGGCTGGCTCCCAGCGTCCTCAGACCCTGCTCAGCCCCTCCTCGTCCCCCTTAACCTGGCCCGCAGTGAACAAGTTCAACACAGAGCTGGAGCGCAAGTGCTGTGAGGCTGGGCTCCGGGAGAACCCCGTGGGGCTGTCGTGCGAGGAGAGGACCCGGCATGTCCGCCCTGAGCCGGCCTGCGTCGCCGCGTTCCGGAGCTGCTGCCATCTCTCTGCGGCCCTGACTCAGGAGGCCCTGCAGGAGGAGCTGCTTCTGGGGACAAGTGAGGGGGCACGGCAGGAGGCACAGGGAGGGGGCCTCCACCAAAGGGCCTGGAGCGCCATGGGGTCCAGGGGAGATTCGGGCCACGGGAACCTTGCCTGGGGGGCCCGTGCCTCAGAGCTGCGGGGCCGACTGACCCAGGGAGAGAGGCCACGGCGATCCCAGCCCACGTCTGCTCCCTGCAGCGGACGACGACGACGAGGACTTCGAAGACATCTTCCTGGACGACCAGCCTGTGCGGACTTTGTTCCCTGAAAGTTGGCTCTGGAGGACGTTTACTCTGCCAAAAAGCGAACTGCGGTAGGAACACGCACCCCCCCCCCGCCCCGGGGCAACATCTGGTCCGCGGCCCATCCATCCATGAGTGGACGTCCATTGTGGCCAAGGCCCCCAGGGGTGCCATTGAGTTCTCAGCATGGCCCCATGATAGCACCCTCCCTGGGTGGGAACGCGGGTCCCAGTGGTTCCCCCAAAAGGAGGACCCTCTCGTGATGACGCCTCTCCTGGGGTGACCCACTCAGCCCTCCATAGTGATGGTCCCCCCCCCCGGACAGAGGCTCTGTCCAGGCAGCACCCGCTCAGCGACGCCCCTGCCCTGCCTCTAACAGGAGGAGCGTCTCCCACACCTTCGAGGTGAACCTGCCCGATTCCATGACCACATGGCAGCTCGTGGCCGTCAGCCTCAAGCCCGGACAAGGTGACCCCGCAGGCCCGATGCCGAGAGACCGCTGGGTGTCCAGCCCCGGGGCCGCGGCTTCTGCTTGAGCTCAACTCCATCTCCTGGTCCTAGGTCTCTGCGTCTCGGAGCCTTTCGAGATGACGGTCAGGAAACCGTTCTTTGTGGATCTGAAGCTGCCCTTCTCCATGGTCCGGAACGAGCAAGTCCAGATCCAAGCCGTGCTGTACAACTTCCTGAGCCGCCAGGTCAAGGTGAGGCCTCCGCCCGCCCCCCCTTCCTGCCAAAACACCGGCCCCTGTGTCTTATAAAAGGGGAGGGAGTGTGTCATTATCCGAAAGGGCCAGCGAAGTGGTGGCCTTTTTGGAAGACTTCTAAGATATTTCCTTTCTTTTTTTTTTTTAAATATATTTTATTGATTTTTTACAGAGAGGAAGGGAGAGGGATAGAGAGTTAGAAACATCGATGAGAGAGAAACATTGATCATCTGCATCCTGCACACCCCCCCGCAACCAAGGTACATGCCCTTGACTGGAATAGAACCTGGGACCCTTGAGTCCGCAGGCTGATGCTCTATCCATTGAGCCAAACCGGTTAGGGCTCCTTTCTTTTTTGAAACATATTTTTGTTGATTTCAGAGAGGAAGGGCGCGAGAGAGAAACATCAATGATGAGAGAGAATCATTGATCGGCTGCCACTGGGGATCCAGCCCACAACCCAGGCATA